TGGCCATTACATGTATATAGAAGGAAAATGTAGCATACCAGGGTCTTGAAATTCTTCAGTTTTCGCAGATCCCACAACTTTATTTGCCCATCGGCTCCACCAGTGGCCAGGTAGTAACCATTCTCCGAGAACGCTACTGCAGTCAACGGATGTCCTGCCCCAACGCCGTGGGTAAAGGTGGCAGGATTTCGTTGATCCTTGGCATCCCAAATCTTCACCTCGCCGTCGACTGTACCGGTGGCCAGAATAAGACCATCCGGGTGGAACTGGGCACACGTAAGGCCTGCGCAACAAGAAAGAACGGGAAAGCATTTTTACAAACACTTCCAAAACTGATCCTTGTACTTCGTGTAAAAAGTCTAATAATCAAGATGATAAGAAAAATAAAAACCCAAGACTTAAAGTTCGGTTTAGTTTGGCATGCTACACACAATCGTAAGTGTTAAGCTTCGAATGGCTTTAGTCCCTGCTATTCAGCTGTATAAAAAGAATACGTGACTATGGGCTTTGGGCAAATCAAGTTTTTGAAGGCAGGAATGCCTCATGCCTCCGAGAAATGCTTGGTATGGCTGGGTGCCTTAAGTATTGCAAATACAAGCAACTAGCTGAGGCAGTTCGGCCAACGACTAAATCATATTAAGCCGTGCGTGTCAAAAGTGACCGGTTAATATAGGTATTCTGATTAAGACATGGGCCCACCAAAGTGAAGAGCTTCAGAGCTCTCGGACTGTCAACTTAATTATGCCAATAAAGCGTTCTGTGGTTTCAGTTACGTCAAAAAGACTAATGAAGGACGGGACGCCCGATTAGGGCATGAAGAAAGCCGATCAGGTGTAAATTAATACTATCAGCCACAACTTCCTCCCTATAGGAGACACTACACCGAAGCAAGGATACATGGGTTTTCGCACTGCGTTGCGTTGGATTTCATGTGACTTGGCAGGCGCACTTCACGGCGTGTAAACACGCCTTCAAAAGATGTTTTGCGCGGAATTAACGTGTAGACTAGGGTGGATGAAATGCTTTACATACAGACAGCAGCGGGGGTTAAGCGCAATAAGCAGGCAAGTGTCAATAATGGGGCATCGGTACAGGAGGCTTTTGTCGAACTGACAGTCAGCGTACCCGAATATGTGTGTGCGTGTTTGTGCTTGCTGTCACGGTAGCACCGGCGAGGAGTGCAGAACTATACCGATCTGACCCCGCTTTAATTTGCGCAAGGAAAGGGTTTCAATTTATTTCATCAAACAAGGGCGGTTCAGAACAGTACAGGTGTTTGTGTTAAAGCATTTGACGGATTAGAATGCATGCAACGGCGATGCGTCACCCACTGAAGGACTTCAGACTTTCGTAGTTCGCATATGGCCTGTAACTACGAGCAGAGAAAAGAGGACTAGAAATTCCGTATTATACATTATGAACAGTCCTCTCGCGACCTTACCACGCCTGTCGTCCCAACCCACGTTTTCCCAGAGAATTGTTTGGGGGGAGCAACGATACAGAGACCTATTAGGCAAGACAAGGAGATAGAAACCTCCCTACAGTAATAAAAGTGGTCTTGCGCTCAATTCTAGGAAGGACAAATATCTCCGTAGTCTAACCCTACCCCAACCGAATCCCTAACACAATGACACCTACACTGTGGAGATACGTATTCCTGTGTCTTACCATCCGTTATATTTAGACATTTTCAAGACGCTAACGAAAACCACGGCGCATATGAAGATGGAAGATGCTTTTACTCATAACAGTGCGCATCCGGAGACTATGTTAAGTTTTTTAACTTATAACGTGTTCTATTCAGCGAAAGGCATACTTTTCATGTTATCAGAAGTTTTAAAGGCAGCCATTACGATGGCTAACTCAATGCTTATAAAGGAAGGACTACTTCTCGTGTTATCAGAAGTTTTAAAGGCAGCCATTACGATGGCTAACTCAATGCTTATAAAGGAAGGACTATAATAAACAAAGTTGAACAGATAGAAACAAGGATGCTGCTCGACTCCAGGTTACAATATGGAGAAGTCGAAAATTGGGACTTACCTTGGGTTGCTCCGTCCTTCTCCACGGTGACCCGAACAAGAACCTGGCCCAGGCGTAGGTCGCTCAGAGCCCACTGGCCGTCAGAGCTTGAGGAGAGGAGGTAGTCACCAGTGGCGTGTACACTTAAACCTGTGATGGCACCCATGTGAGCACGAATGACACTGGCACACTGGCCTTGCTCCACACCCCACACACGGACAGTACTGTCCGGAGAGCCAGTAAAGGCCAACTGCTCGGTCTGGTGGTATACTACATTGGTTACCTTCTTTGTGTGTCCACGGAGAATGGAGATGACCTAGGAGAACAAATACAAAAGCCGAAATTATCGTCATCATGATGAGCTAAGCCCGGCATATAAACATGACATCTGACCAAGGTAAGGAACTACAAGACCTAGAGAAGATATTTCTTAAGGTATAAATTATACAAAACAATAAGTGATTTCCAAAGGATACGGTACTTAGCAAAGTTTTAGTCATCAAATGAATGGGGAAGGTGTGCGTATTAGGGCATTCGTGGACGTTATGTTTTAATCCTTTACGCCTTCTGGATGTGGAGAAAACCTTTATTGGTCACATTCGCACTACCACCCTCTTCCATCCTCAAAAGATTAAGGACGTGATGTGAACGACAGGCGCCTTCCAGTCCTTCGAAAGCGTGGAAAAAACGGTAATTAACAAAAGGACAGCTGACAATCTCGGCGCCACCAACGAATCTGACGTCAATTACTTCTCTATGGTCCGTCACACAAGGGAGCAGAAGGATATCTGCCTTCGTATCGCCGGTGGGAATTCGTGCTCCCTTAACGGGTCGGTTGGTAGGTGCACTGGGATCTGAGTCATGCATGGCGGTTCCGGTCGCCTGCGCCCGATCTCACCTCCAGTCTTCTGCGCTCTGTCTTGACACCGCACACATGCGAGTGAGTGGAGAGTGTAATAGATGCGACGCAAGTCCACTACCCCTTAAAACGAATCAGCAACCCTGCACCACCAGATTGTGCAACACACGGTGGACATCGTCTGATTCAATGGTGGTATTGTTAATTTTAATGCCCTGTTAATCTGTTATCAATTCGATACTGTCAAAATGTACGGGAGGCTTTTTTCGTGTCCGTCCATTGGTGTACGCGGACTCAACATG